CCCATGCAGCTGCTTTTACCAAATATACCTTTTTCAATAGCTTTAAGGTAAGAAAACCTTACATTAGTATTGCTTTTAAAACGAAAATAGATTTCATTGTCTATGTAAAAAGTTAGTTGTTAAAATTTATACTTTTGTATAACAGCAGGGAAGTTATACTCCACATGTGGCTAGATGCAAGATCAAGCTTTTCCACACAAAAGTGTGTCTTAATACATCTTGGTTCCACCCTGCAACCTTCTTCCTATTCCAAAAAAGGGTGTGGCCAGGTGTAACACAGGCAGGTACAGAAGGAGCTTCCCCCCCCTTAACAGTTGCCAAGACCTCTGGATTAGATATGGGGGTATTCGTATATGAATATGAATATCCTCACACAGGTGGCGTTAACAAGGGTCCAGCGCCATGGGGCTGGATGGTCCAGACAGCGCGATTCTACGAATGGCTCTAAAGCACATGATCTGCTCACTACTCCTAGCGGGAGGCCAAACCCCACTGCAAGGTTGAAGAGTGGTAAGCAGATTGTGCGCTGCAGCACCATTGGTAGAATTGTGCCATCCACATCCGTGGTGGATTGGTGAGTGGACCGTCCAGCCCCATGGGGCTGGACCCTTGTTAATGTCATCTGTGCAGGGATATTTGTATATGAATACGAATAACCCCATCTCTACTCTGGATCCTGATTGTCATCACCCTGCAGTTTCTCTGTCTCTTTCAGGGATGCTCTCACCTGGACAGGTTACATATTTGATCTTCTGTTATTGACATGTGTTGTATAGATCTCCTTATCTGAAATGATACAGATTAAACCCTTGGGGCCATGATGTCCAGTTCTGGCCCATTATTGGCTTGTTGGCCAAATTTTACCACTTGGGAACGATAAGATTACATCAGACACCTAGGGCAACAACAAAATTGCCTATTAGCAACTCATAATTACCATATTTTCCCCTGTATAAGATGATACTTTTTTCCTAAAATCATTACAATAAAAATTGAGGGGCATCTTTTACATGGAAGTAAGCTGAGATAGCTGAGGAAAGAACAAAATGGCCTGTATCTTGCCTCTGTAAACAGGCTTCCTTCAGTCACAAGGCTTAGCTTCCTACAGTCAGGAGACTTAGCTTCCTCTAATCACAAGCTTTATGGAACTGATGTCAGCTGATGCTGAACAAACCAATTGGAACACACCGTGTTGGAGGTGGAGCCTGTAGGCTCAGATTCAACAGGGACTCCTAATGTCCAATGTTCTGAGCCCAGAGGTTGAGTACTCAAAGCTAAGCTTTCTTAAGTTTGGGGTTAGAAAGGGGGGGCATCTTAGAAATGGAAAAATATGGCATATGGACATAATGTGTATATGGAAGGTTCTAGTTATGCATTTATGAATGCAAGTTCTTTGTGCAATTTTTTAAAATTACCAAGATACAAAATGTAGTATGAAATGCATCCGGCTGCAGGCTAAATGAGATATGATGCCATACAAGCAATTAGTAATTTCAGGAGCAGCTTTTAAAAAGTAAATTGCAGGTGCAGGGAACTCATCCAGTGGTCCTCAAACTGGGGTTCCCAGTGGTTCTTGGACTTCAACTCCCATAAATCCTGGGCAGCACAGTAAGTGATGAAGGCTTCAGGGAATTGCAGTCCAAGAACTTCTGGGGACCCGTTTGAAAATTACTAGATTCCTGGTGTGGAGGCCGATGGTGGTCCTACTCCAAATTCAGCCTCATACACTTGCTATCTCATTAAGAGGAAAACTCACATTTTATTCAATGGAAGTACCATCCCACATCTTAGTGCAAATGGGAGACATCAGAAGTGGGGGGGGTAAAGATCAATGCCCCCCTCACCTATCAGGGTCACAAATCAGATCACCCACAACTACAAATAATTTTAAAAGATTTTCACACGTTTGCTGATTGAATGAATCGTGTTGCATCTAGTCTGATCTTCAGCCTTGAGTCAGGTCCTTGGTCTATCTAAGAACATAGATGGTGTGTGCCCTTAGTTTGCTTTTATTCACACTAAATGGCAGTGCTTTTGTTCAAGAAGCCAACAAACTAGGGGGAAAAGCCATGTGTTCCTTGAACACAATCCAAAATCCGAGGGGGGCGATGCCTTTATCAGACCACCCAAAAAATAAAAATCTCAGCTAACTTTTGCCCCAAATTGGTCTCTATAATATTGGATACCACAAAGCTGGGGGCAGTGCAGAAGGAATACAAGAGTCCCACAAATCATGGTCAAATGTGTAGGCCGGGCTCCATTATTAAAAGCAAATTTTAAGACAAGGACTGCAGATTCAGGTCAGAGATGTACATTTCAGATTTTACCTCAGATTTCTTGGTGTGGGTTGGAATGCCTCTTTCATCTTTCTCCAAGCTCTAGAGATAATACTTTTAATTTGGCTGCTATTACCCAGAGTATAAACTAAACTTTGTCTCAGCTTCTCTAATATGGAGTTTGACATTCCCAAAAGGAATCATGTGTTGTGATACAGGGGGATGTCAGAAGATGGACAAACCTTTGTCTAATCTGATTGAGAGGGACATTCCAATCTGCATGACCAGAGGTGACCTCTGGAGCCTCTACCTCCAACCTGAGTCCGCAGCTTCCATTCCAAAACTTGCTGTAAGCAGAGAATCTTTCCCGACACACATAGCCATGAATTTTTAAACACTTGTATTTCTTCTGCACCACCTCCAGCTCTGTGATGCCCAACCTGAAGAAGACTTGTGCAGGGTTGAAAGCTAGGCAATGTTTGTGATTTTTTGTCATGAACTAATCAACTTATCAACAACTCTTAGTGAGAGAAGCCAGCCATTGAACCTGAAATCTTCTATGTGTGAAGTAGATATTCCACTAGAGGAGAGGTAAGGTCCTTTTCCCATAGAAGTCATCATCCTGCAGTTACTAGTGGCTATTTCAGGAACTAATGCTCCCTAGACCTGCTAATCATGACCAGTTAAATGGAGGAGAGACTGAATATGGCTTTTATGACTATAATCAAAAAAAAAAAATCAACTTTTTCAAACTTTGTACTCTACTATCATAAGTTCCTTAAGTCATGTACTTATTTTAAAGTATGAGAATAGAATCTGTCAGATGAGTTAGCAGTGATGTAGGTCACAAATTATTTCTGGTCAAACATGCAAGGAACCTCTAAAACAGGGCTCATAATGTTGATGTAAGCAGGTGCCAACTCAACAGATAGTTGAATCACAAAGTGGAGGCAATCAAGCAGACAGACCATCATGCAGCAATGGGCAATCTGAGAATAGTTTTGTTGGAACTTGAAGTACAAATTGTTCAATCAAGAGAACGTGAAGAATAGGTGGTACTTTATTGATCCTTGCAAGTTGGTAGAATAAATGTTGCCTTTTCATTTGGGAGAACAACACTGGGCAGCAGTCAAGAGCAACTCTTGCTTGAGAGAATTCAGCTTGGACAGGTAGTGCTTATGAAGAATACAACTGGGTACTGTTCAGAACAAACAGAGGTGGAGGCGGGGGGGGGAGAGAATCAGACCCCACACAATCTTCTTCCACTTTTTTCCTGCATTTTCAAGATGGATGTGCAAAAGATGGCCTAGTGTTCAAATGGCAGGTTGGGGTGCCAACCTGTGAACCAACTGGCTTGCAGACAGATGCCTCAGCTTCCTGTCAGAGACCGGAATAAGTACATTTACTTACAGGTTAGCCTATTATCTTGCTGTTTGAAATGGCAAGCTTGACAGGGACTTGAATGGGACTACCGTGGGAACCGGAGAGTGGATGGAATACCAACTGCAAATGCCATTCCAAGGCTGCCTTGGGGACACACTCTTACTCTGTGGCAATATATAAAAGCTAGGGCTGAAATTGTGTGTAATGCTATTTGAGTAGGGGTTGCGCAAAGTCTGAAATTACATTGACATAGCAGAAACGCTGCACCAGCATCCCGGGGGATCAACCTGGCATGAATGTGTCATGTCCAGAAATAAGACATCAGTGCTACACTACAAGCCAAAATGAAATTTCTGTTGGTATATCTGCACAAAACAGTGTATTATCATTCATTATGTAAAATACGCTTTAACATCCTTCAGATTGGCATAGACAGTTAAGGCGGTGTGCCATGCACCATTTATTCTAGAATGTTCCCACCGGGTTTAACTGGGTAACTTGGGGCACGAGTGAAACTTACTCCAGTATGAAGAACATGCATATATTTGTGGCCCTCAGAGAAATTACTTCCTGTCAGGAGTGTCAGAAAAATACAGGAGAGAATTTTACCATTCCACTTCTTGAGAGGAGATGATTCCCTTAACACAAACGTTGCTGTAGGAAAGTTTTGCACTGATCAAAGCTGCATTATTAAAATCTTTCCCAAGGCAATCATTAAATTATTCACAGTACATAGAGGGCGAGCGGTACCACCTCCTCCTTCACAAGAAGCGTTCCTGCCTTGAATTGCAGGTTTCTTTCTTGTACTTTTGTGCCTTGTTGGTTTTCGTTCGGCACAATGGTTGAGTTAGGATTCCCAGGATGCACCTCCGCCAAAATGACCAGAGAGGGGATTCTGGGACTTGTCGTCAAAAATTAACTTTTTGAGTCCTCTCCCCGGTACCCCGCACCACAGGAACATAGGGGGAGGGGCGCCGGCTCTGCATCGAAGGAGCAAGAAAATACCCTTTCGGAACGCGGTCACACGGGATGGAAACACTTAGGAGCGCCTAACGTCTGAAATGGCAGCCGGGTCTGGGCTCGGTGCAAGCCAAGTTGTATTTCCTATCGAAGAGTTCTCGCCTCAGCCTCAGCCTCGCTCGCTCGCTCTTGTTCCCCCTCAGCCTCAAACGCCTCTGCAAGGACTCTTGCAATTAACGAGCGTTATGGTTCCCCCCCATCTCGGTGTAGCCCCTCTTTTACTGCCCTCTTCGATTGGCTATTTCCCGGGGGGATCCCACCCTCTCCTTGTCTGTGTTTTGCATCCTGAAGCTCTCCCCAAGCTTACACCCGAAGGAGCGCCAAGCGTCGCTCGCTCGCTTTCTGTGGGACGATATAAAAAGGCGGGCTTCGGCGAGGAGTTGCACAGTTGCAGCAAAGGCGGCGGCGGCAGCAGAAGGAGAAGGAGGAGGACTAAACAAGCCGTCTGCAGGCGCCGAGCTCCAGCTAGCCATGTTCCCTCCTGCCCTCCAGCTCGCTGCCTTTCTGCTCGCCTGCCTGCTCCTGAAGAGCTGCCGGGCTTTTAAGAACGATGCGACCGAGATCCTGTATTCGCATGTGGTCAAAGCCATGCCTGCCAGCAGCAACAGCAACAATAACAGCAACAACAGCACCTTGAACCAAGCCCGAAACGGAGGCAGGCATTCCGTCTTCGATCGGAGCAGTAAGTATTGGGAATTGCAGCCGCTCGTAAACTACTGATGTACTCCTCTTAATTAGTCTCCCTCAAGTATTTGTTTGTCTCCCCCACTTTAAAAAAAAAGTTTCAAAAGTAACTTTCACTTGGTCATAAAGGATGTACAGTATCTGTTATTTCCCCTTGAGAATTCCATCTGAAGGTCTCCTGCTTCACCCTCTCTTCTCAAAAATAATGATGAAGATGATGATAACAGCAACAATAGCCCAAACAACAGGAAAGAACCTTTAAATCGCCAAAGGTGGTAATAGCTTCACCTTAGTTTTAGGCTCTCTTGTCTTTGAGAATTGTTATTCTTCTTCTCGATCATCTCCTGCCATCTAAATAAGAGAGCAAAAGATGAATTATGAAGCTGGTGGTGAGGCAGCTTTTTATTGTGGTTCTCTTTCTACCATGATCAGGACCAATTTGAGACTGTTTGCTTGTTTCCAGTAGTCCCTTCCTGAGGAGTTCAGGCGAGAGATGCTTTCTCCAGCTCTCCTTCCTGACCTCATGCTTTGTCATCAACATCAATTTTCTGTGCTGCTTCTCAAAACCAACATTTACTTCCAGCAACCAGGCTTTGATTCTGTTCCAGTAGTGTTTTTACTTCCTGATTTAGCACTTAACCTGTTTAAACTCCTCTAGTCTGTATAAACAAACAGGTTCACAACCTACCTGGAATCTTTGCTCTAACATGCCTTTGAAAATGTGCCCCCCTCCCAATCCGTTGCCACCCCTACTTTGCATTCCTGGTCGGATTTTGGCTCAGAAAAGATCCATAAGGAACCAGCTCAGGGCTGGCTTCAGTCACAACTCCGCTCCAAAAGGCATGCCAAGACCATTGACTTCACAGGAACACGTTTATCTCTTAGAAGCAAAGATGTTGACGGCCACGTCCTTCAGCAGAAAGAAGTGATTTGAACATGCAGGAAACATCTGATCAATTCAAGTTGACTGAAACAGCCCAGTAAGCATTCCTTGTCTGTTAGCTGTCATCATAACCCTCCAAAATAAAAAAGCTGAACATTCATGCATTAGACTTTCCAAAAGGCAGATGATGCAAAGGGCTAGCCGCTTCTTTCTGCATGCATTCCTGAGCCAGGTGCAAGATGCAAACATGTAACAGAAGGATTCAAGCAAGTGGCAATATGCAGAAACCCATTCTTCTGAAAATCCTCTCCTAATCGGGATAGTCCATTAAAGCTGTTACTATTTTAGGTAATAAATCACATCCACCCCAAAATGGCGCTTTCTGATACTACTTTGGATGGTGCCAAGGCTGGTTGGCAACTGAGCTTGGAAAAGTTATTTTTCTGAACTTCAACTCCCCCAAACCCAGCCAGTATGAATTCTGGGAACAGTAGTCCAAGAAGTAACTTATCCTAATCTCCTTGGCACCATATTCAAAATTGTGAATTAAAAAATGCCTGTGTGGATTGTGCATTTGTTGTTTCTAGAAAAATGGAATGGTACCAAAATACAATACCCATGGTTTGTAAAAAGCCAATTGCACTTAAAAATAAAACTTGTCAAATTTGACTTGGCCTGTGGTTTCTAGGAAGAACTTTCCCAGAAGGATTCCCATGTAGATCTCCATTATTTAATACAGTTGCAAAGAATCTTCGTTATGTGTGTATATGCATCTTTTATTAAAAAAATCTTCAAATCTGCTGAATTTTAAAGCATGAATGCAAGCCAAATTATCACCAGGACTGTAAGGTGTCTCATTGTTAAATGTAATTTTCCTATTTGCATTGCTGTGGAATAAGACAACGCGGTAACCATGATAACAGTTACTTTTTAAAAAGAGAAAGTGCAAGAGCAAAAGATGGCATGTTGAAATTCACGCTTCATGTTCATTTCAAAGGGGTAATTATTAAAATAAGGAATTGTGCTTACTTCAGTGAAGATATCTACAGATGCATGCAGGCACAAACATGCCTGCATTTGCAGCTACTTCAGCACCTTGGTACGATGTCAGATACCTGGAAAAAATGAAATAACATTGCCTCCGGACTTAGAGTCCTACTTTTTAAAGACAGGGTGCTAGTACCGTGTTTCCCTGAAAATAAGACAGGGTCTTATATTAATTTTCACTCCAAAAATGTAGTAGGGCTTATTTTCAGGGGATGTTTTAATTTTTTTATGTACAACAATCTACATGTCATCTTCTGATTGCTACACAATGGTGGAGGGCAGGGTTTCACTTAACTAGGGCTTATTTTCAGGTTAGGTCTTATTTTCGGGGAAACAGGGTAAGTCATGTTGCAACAAAATAGTATTGTTGCTTAAAGAATATTTTAATGGGCCAGGCAAGTATAGAGTGTAGGTTTCTAAGAATCTTCCACAGAACTAGCAGCATATCTCCTTGAAAGTAAAATAGAAGCATTAATTTATTACAGTTCTCTGATTGTAGCATATTAATTTCCTGAGCTTCTGTCCCAACCAACACACACAAAATGTTCATGCTAACCCAATACTTAATATCTTGGAGCAAATCCACCTGGGATCAAGACAATGCTCTTTATGAAAGACAGGCAGATGAAAGGGAGCCCTACAACGTGAAATTACCTCTGATACCATCAGTAGCTGAGGCAGCATTAATATTCCTATTTACTTTCGAGCACTCCAATTTGCTGTCACACAGTTTTCTCTCAGATGCTGTATTATAGCTTCAGTCATACAGGTTATGGCTAGAGTGACAAGCAGAAGCCAGTTATCAGATCTTGGCCTTGACAGAGCTACAAGGCATAGCATGTATAGCTATAGTGAAGATTTATTTAAGGCATCCAGAAGGGATCCACTGATTGCAAACACATCAAAAATTTACATGACCTATTATTTATGTCTAGCATTTGTATACTGATCTTCTTATGAACATTTCAAAGCGCTTCACAGTAATAAAATTCACCTTGTTTGTGCCCCATTCCGATGCTGATCTTCCTACACATACTCTTGCACTTCGTACTTTAGCCATTGAAATGGTGTAACATGATCTGAGCACCTTATGCCAGCTCAAACAAAGGGCCTGCCTAGAGGTGGAACTGGGTGAAGATTACTGATGCTTGGCTATATGTGTCAATAAGATACGAGGGATCAAGGAAGATTGGAGCGGCTCTTTCTGTGATGCAGTTTTTTAATTATGGAAGTAGCTCCTACAACCTCTTGTTTATCCCTGCCTAATGTAAAGACTACACATACCATTGTGGTTGTGCAAATAAATGAACTGCATCATCCACCTACAGCCATAAGAAAGAGGAGCACTCAGCTGAACGAATGTTGACATGGATGTTCTGACATCTATATGGCAGACTAGTGTGGACCACCATTCCCCGATGATGCAGAGGTCCATTGTTACCTGTTCTGATGTGAGAAACAGCTGTAAATGATTAGAATTTTAACCCTGACGTCAATATTCTGTGTCTTTGACAGGTCGTGTTCAAGTTGGCTGCCGGGAACTGAGATCCACCAAATATATTTCAGATGGCCAATGTACCAGCATAAACCCTCTGAAAGAGTTGGTGTGTGCTGGAGAGTGCCTCCCGTTGCCAGTTCTGCCTAACTGGATTGGAGGAGGTTATGGATCCAAGTACTGGAGCAGAAGGAGCTCCCAGGAGTGGAGGTGTGTGAATGACAAAACCCGCACTCAGAGGATCCAGCTGCAGTGTCAAGATGGAAGTACAAGAACCTACAAAGTAACTGTGGTTACAGCATGCAAGTGCAAACGATACACCAGGCAACACAACGAATCTAGCCATAACTTTGAAGGAGCCTCTCAAACAAAGCCAGTCCAACATCATAAAGAGAGGAAAAGGAACAGCAAATCCTTGAAGCATCCCACAAGTTAGAGCTCCACCATTCATTTGAAGAGATGAACTTCTCAATGATATCATCATCCAACAAAAATCCTTTCACACCATAGTTGCTTCGCAGTTGAGTGTACACACACTTTTGTAGCTTTGACCAAACTCCAAAGGGCATTCAGTGCATAAGTACTTTTTGCTTTTTTGCTTATCATCTGTATTTTCAAGATGGGCAATATGCCTACAGCTAATTGGGTAACACTTCCTGCCCCCCCTTTTTTTACTGGAAATAAATAGTTGTTACCATGGACATTCAATCAATTTTATATTGTTCTAGAAAGCTGCTGTTGTGAGTTTTCATGGGCACGCTTGTATTTTATCAGGGTCTCATATGTCTCATTTAAAAGGAAACAAAAGCTTTTATTTTAAGTACAATGAAACAAAAGCAGTATGTATGCTGATTCTTCTCTTTCTCATAAATACTGGTATCAATACATTACAAAAGAAAAAACTATGCATGACAGCGGCTGAAAAGTATCCTTGAACAAAAGCTATTTATTTGTCAGTGTAATTATTTAATGAGCTTTTTTGTGTTTTCAATTTTTTAAGATGCCTATTGTATGTTTTAACACTTTCTCCAACATCAAAGTATTTTCCTATGATTTGTGGTCAAAGTAGAATATACATTTTGTAGATAATGTAAAATAGATATTTTAACCCTTGTAGGTTCTTTTAATTCTCAGTTTCAACGCAAGTAAAGCATTTTGAGGAACGTTTTGTAAATACAGGACATTGTAAAATAATTTGTATTTTTTTAAGTATGCAATCAAAAAGTAGAACTTCACATTGATTTCACCCATTTTTAATAAAAAAAGTCCAATAACACGATCACTGTCTTTGGTCCTATCACTATTGTTCTGTGTGCCTTGGTTCATTACCTTTATGGAAGGGCAAAAGTAGGACAGTTTTCATTTTTTGGACTGCACAGTTTATATCAGCTAGCATGGCCACAAGGCATGTTGGCCTGAGAGTGTTCTGACAGCTCTAGTCCATACAGGTAACATTTCCGATTTTAGGTAGTGTGTAACAGAACATGTAGCACTTAAGTGGGTAACACCAACATGTACCATGATTAATGGCAGGAGGCACACAACAGATTTCAAGATGGTTGAAAGAGACATAAAGATATAAGGAAGCAAAAAGGAGACAATACATCACAAGAATCTCATAAACAGGAAACAGTAGTTAAAAAGACAGTAATTCCTAATGACATACAAAAAGTAGATGGGGATCTACTTGATACATTACTCGGCTTATTTGAAGTAGATCAGCAAGTTTCAAGCTTTCATTTGTTTAACAACTGTTGTTCCATACTGTCAAATCGGAGTCAACTTAGAGCGAGCCTAACAGGACTTTCAAACTAAGTGAGATATTTAAGGAGTGATTTTGCCAGTTGCAGTCCCCCCAATGAGTTTCCATGGCTGAGCAGGGATTTGAACCCTGGACTCTAGAGTCGTAGTCTGTCACTGTCCACCACACTGGGTATCCCTATTTAAAAATAGCAGCAAGTACTTTAAATGATTTCTCAGCCCAATACTTAGGCATCTTCAATGAAGAGAATCTTGCGGGGGAAAAAACTAGGAATTGAGTTTTGTATAGAAGGACTGAAACTACACCCCAAAAATCTAGCAGTAGAGGTAGCTTGTGAACTGGGAAGGGAGGCATGGCCCCAACCCAGCCATGAGCTGTCGGTGGATTAGAATCAAGCTTCCTGAAGAACAGCTTCAGTGGTGGGAATCCGCATATGGTTCAGGACCACAGTACAGGGAAAGAAGGCTTTTAAGGTTTTCCCCATGTGCCATATTCACATCCCAGATTACTAGCAATTTGTAGCAATTTGCCTCCAAAGAGCAGCACAGTATATTGATCTGTGGTAGCAAAATAGCACTGTGTGCGTGCGTGCATTCGTGTGCATGCACACCATAGTCCTTGCTCCTCCATGTGAGGTGACAGAACAGAAGGTTCCTGATTTTTTCTCAGCAGATCCTCACAGGTCCAAGCTGAAATAAAGAGCACATTTCATTTCATAATGGACTACCCATCCATTGCTGCCTGAAAGCAGGAAAGGGGGGGAAAAATAAGTCCTGCAAAAGAAGTATTAACACTTTCCCAATCATGATGCCATAAACTAAGGGGAATATTCATCTTTGATGGTGGACAAATTAAGCAATTAAAAACACATGTTTTATAGCACTTAAATGCTATTAATTTCAGTACTTACTAGTATTTAATACGTATTTGGAAACCATACTTAATAGCCAGGGTCCAAAGCCATGAAACAGGTTATTTGCAAAATGAATTATGTACACAATAATTGGACAAAGGCTTGGGTACACATGCAAGCTCTCCAGGCAGCCCTCCTCTTTCCATTCCTTTCCCTTCTTACGATACACCAGTCGACCATCTACAATATAAAAGGAAGGGGGGGGGACAACAGTAGTTCAATCTATTTTGAGCCATCTGCATGCTTTTCACCAGGAAAGGAGCATTAGTGTCCCTGACCCCATTTATTTATTTAGTTTTAATGTTGGATGCACATTGATTTGCACATACACAAGTGCTGTTCAGGGGAAATCTAAGTGGACGTGGGCATGTCAGGCCGTGGACCTGCAACAGGGATGGGCCACACTGCAGCAGCACAAGAGATTGTCACTGCCATTGTTCCCTGTTTTCTCTTTGGCTTATTTTCCGAAGGTGGCTGCTTACTGCAAAGCCAGCTACTGTTTCTGGATGACTCTGATTGCCCATCTGTCTCCGTCTCCTTGCTTACAGAAGTTTTGAGCTGTATTGCTTTGAGTTATCCTACTTTGCCCTTGGGACACATCTTTATCTGGACTGTTTGACCTGGTATTAAGCAGAAATGGCATTCCTTGGGAGCACAGAACCTGTCTGTGCAAGAGCTGTACATTTCTACGAACAGAACTGATTGACTCCATCTTCAAGTACTGGGGAGCCTTTGAGCAGCTTTGGACATCAATTCCCGTGCTCTGTTACTGTTACTAGTATTAGCTGAGGCTTCTGGGAGTTGAGGTCCAAAACATCTGGAAGGCCATGGGTTTCCCACCCTTTTTTTTAACCATTTGACTCTTCCCCTTAATACTCTGAATACCAATCCCTTGACCTCTCAATTTTGCTTCGCCTCCCCAGTTGTCAGGGTTGCATCTTTCAAAGAACCAGACCTAACCCACAGTTTTCGGGATCACAGCCTATATCTCCATGCTCTCTGATGTGAAATATAATGAGAAATTTTAAAACTGAGTTTTCACATTCAGCTCAGCACCTAGTGCTTTTCACTGGATGCTCCTTTTCCAGTGACTGAACGAAGGGCACAGAATGCCAAAGCCATTTTTACCGACTTTAAAAAGATCCCTCTGCTGTAATAAATAAGAACACTGCACCTCAACTGGTTTGCTATCTGATTTCTAAAATGCAGAGTATGTAAAATAAAATTAACTACATTTAAGATCAAGGATATATATTTTTCTTAATTGATAAATCCCTGTGCTGGAAATACATAGGAAGGAAAGCTGGGAAAAAAAAACAGTGTCATCCTCATTAGTGAATTGCTGTCTGTTGATGAAAAATGCCCAGAGCAAAGAAGTAATCAGGGTTATATATAATGAAAGGAAATACATTCTCCTCTGGCATGCTGGCTGTTTTGATAGCACCATGGAAATAATATAGATGAACGACATGCTACGGGTATAAAGAGTGAGTTAGAGTGACATTAAGAGATCCGCTGTTTAGGAGACTAATTTCATGGCATGTCAGTAACCAAGACTTGATGTGGTGTTTTTTTTTCTGTTGATTTTGCCTTGTTTCCTTTTGAACAGCAGCCACACAACCTGCAATTCATTCCCTTTTCAATCATCTCCAAACCCAGAAATGTCAAATCCAAGTTCAGGACGAACATGATGCTGACTTTTGAAAACACCCTTGGAAATACCTAAAAGGTTTCTGCCTCATAAATAAGAGTCCTCCTAAACCTGACCTTTACATCCTTCCTGAAGAAGTGCCACATTAATCATGTGCATGTTCAACACATTCCACTTGGGGATTCTTGTTGCTGCAGTGCTAACTTGGGAGGTTTTCAGAAACTTAGGAGGATCCGTGAGTACTGGAAAGCATTCTCTTCTCATGATGCATTTCCTTTCCCGCAGGCCAGGCAAGGGGGCTTTGATTCTAATTTCATTGACATACTTGTAAATGTAGCTCCAGGTTAAAACTTAAATTTGACTGCAGATTTATGAGCTAGGCAGACAGTCTGTCACTTGACTTGTTCCTTTTGCTTGAACATCACCCTCACAAAAAAATCCTCAGCATTTTTTTGAAAGACAGCCAGCTTTTCAGATCATCTGACATTGTGACCACACTGATTCAATTCCTTCTCTATGCTTTATTACTTCCCCAATATATTATTAGGCTGCAATTCTATGCCTACTTTACTCTTAAGTAAACATCCCTGAATACAATGGGACTGATTTCTGAGAAAATATGCAATAGGACTGAATTATATGTCACCTTACCAGAAGTCTAAGGAATCTCCTCTTTTAATATCTGGACATGCCCACACACCCCAACATGGAAATATATTCTATATTTCATTTCCTAATAACTGTAGATTAAGGTTATAGTAGTTATCACACTGGGCACAAGTAATATCTTGCAACTACAAGATCTTGGACATACAGCTAAACAGCCTTCTCCGGTATTAAAGATCTCCTATATTTCTCATCTTCCACTTCCTGAAATGAGAAGCAGGGGTGATTGGAATTTGGAATGTAACATCTCTGAAACATAGAATGCAGGGTAACTTGATATCAATATGTATCAGATAAATACAAATTTACATGGTAATTTAGCCCTCACATATTGGGTTAGGCTGTAGGTTCATTATTGCTACGAGATAAAAGGCATAATTTTCATCATAAATTAATAACGTATCTGCTGGGAAAGGGCTGTACTGTAATCTGATGAGCAAAGCAGCTGAATCATGAAGTGAATGGGACTGGAGTGTAACATATATTGAGATTCCCCAGATGCTTCCCTCTTCACTGGAGAGAGAGAGAGATATTTCTGTGAGGCTGTGGCTTTATAGAATTAAGCACCAAAAAAATCCAGCCAGCTGAGGATTTTCTTACCTGTGTATCATTAAAATATTCAATACAGATGTTTTTCCATGTGCCTTCTGAACTGAGACACCACTTAACACATACTTCAACTTGTGCAGTTAGCATCAATAATCAGTTAAGTGAAAAGGCCTCACTTTCTCTAAAACTTTGACCCAACAATAATTTTTTTCCAAGGAAATTTGACTTGTGGAAGCTGATAAGAAATGTACATAACAAGGAACAAGCCATAACATACCCATTTATGTGCAAACAAAAAACAGCATTATCAACATGTAAACAAGGCATACAGAGGACATGCACCTTGTTTTAGGAGTTGCACTTCCCAGATGTGGAAATTTACCGCCAAAGCTTTCAAGCCCATTTCTACATTTTAAAAAGCTGTGATTTTACTAATGCTGTAGACAGTTATTATGGATCATCGCCAATGGTGCGGGATGAAAGGGAAGGCCACACAACATCTCTGTGTGTGCATGCATGGGCACATATATGCATGCATGTGACCCATGTGCTGACCTTCTGATCCATGAAATAGAAAATGTCTTCGAACAGAGGATTGTCTGCTGTAAAGTAGAGTACATGGCCTCCTACCCAGATTGGCTATGGTTACTTATCACTCTTGGGGAGGGCAGAGTGGTAAGGATACAATGAATGTTCCCTTTACGATATTTCCAATGATCCTTCTTGCTCCCCCAGCTTTTATTCACAACATGTTAAGGTCCTTATAGCATGGATTATATCCTTGTTAAAGGTATTTGTCCCTACTTCCCTTGATCAAACTAGTTTTTCTGGTGTTATGTGTCAGTAGAGAAAACTCTGCAAGTGATCGGATTACTTTTTGGTTTTCTAGTTCCCATAACAGAGAGCTTTTCTAAAACTTTCCAACCATATTTGTATTTTGACTTTATCAACAGCAATGGTAACAGATCCAGGTCATCAGACACCATTTCTTGAATCTGACTCATGCTGTCCTTTCAGCTTTTGAATATGGCACAGTCAACAGTGCCAAGCAAGGAAGTGCAAGAACGCTGAATTCAGCACATGACTGGTGGCCACTGAAAAAGGAGAAATCACCAGGTAGTAGTATTACCAGGGCAAGACTCTGGGACACAACTCAGCATAACAAACAGGGGTGCATGTCACCAAATACAGATGATAAATTTTAAGTGCAATTGCCAATAACATCTAAAGAGCCCAGGGTCCTTTTCCCTTCACCCTGGGCCCTTTTCCCTAGGAAGCTGGGCTGAGACTGAAGGCCAGGTATGTTTGCATGAACTTTTTGCTGAGGAGGCTTTTCTTCTGGGCTTTCTTTTTGTCTCCCCCACTGCATGGCCTGAGGGGTGGGGCCTAGGGGGTGGGGCTTTCTGCTTTAAATGAGCGTGTCCCAGGACCACACGCCAATTCTTAAATTCTCTGATTCTATCTCTGGCCCCAATATGGTAAATAGGAAAGCCAATTAGATTTGCATATACCTGGGAGGCAGGAAAGTTTTAAGGGTCAGATCATACTTCCGCACTATTAAAGAGCAGGCCGGGTAGGTGGGGCTCGTCAGCCACAGAAGGCAACCCCTCTAGGAGACGGAAAACTCTGATTTTAAACCTCCACTGCCTTGTGGCTATATCCACTGATGGAAAAGGCTTCAGGAGTTAACCTAGAGGCAAAATCCGGAGCTGGAGTCCCGAAGGCAGTTCGTGTCGTTCTGCCAACTCCTGTGACATTGCTTGAACCAGTTGTATTGGCTCATGAGTTTCCACTGGACCATTTCAGCAATGTGGAGAGAGGGGAATCTGCTGCTTGGGTAAGAGCCTATCCTCCATATTACTTTACCCAGGCTTCATGCTCTGGAGAGGCCACTCCTCGATTCAGAGCATGTTACCATAATCTCTCGAGACTGAAGGATGCCTATGGATCTAAAGAGCACATCTGCATGTAAGACATTTAGGTACAGAACCTATTACATAACTGTATGCTCAACACTAATACCAGCAAGAGTACATAACATGAAAAAAAAATCAAACCAAAACCCTCTGCTACCTTCATAGAAGTCTAGGTTGCCACATACAAAACGCTTATTAAAAGGTGTTGGTTTACAGGAAAACAATGATTCTACTGAAAAACTTAGAAGTTGACCTGCATGTTTTCATAGGGAAGCTGATGTTACATGAACGGCAGGGGAGACAAACAGAAAACCAAGATTCCCTCAGATTTTAGGAACTACAGGATTCAATTTCAGCAGTATCTTACTCTATCTGGTGATCTTTTCCATTGCTGCTTGTGTACTGATTATATTTAAACAAAGCTTTTTTAAAAAATCAATAAATCTCTTCTGTGATCCTTCAGCAGCTAAAGCACATTCCTTTTCTCTCTTCCTGCCATCCCCCTTTTAAAAAAGAACATGAGAAGAACTGAGGCCACATAAATGTTTTTGAGCGGATTAAAAATGTTCTAAGGATGAATAAGAGATGTTATAAATTTAGCAGAAAGTGTATATAAAAGAAACAACATGAATAAATAATAATTATGTATAGCAGGAATATTTTAATTTTAGCCAAGAACTTTTTCATTCAAGGACCTAGATCTTTTTAATATATAAATCCTTAAACCAGAAAATAACCAGCCATTCCATCAATGACATGTATAAATTTGGCTGTTCCTCTAAAAAGCCCAAATCAGAGCCAAAATCCTCTTGCGTACATTAGCATTTGCACGCTAAGTCACACAACCCAGTAAGCAACAGATGTCTTCAGAGATCTCTTGAATAAAGGCATTTCATTTGCAAAAGTTATAGTGTTCATGTTATGTGAGTATGATCAGCCAAGAACTGTGTGATCAGCCAAGAACTGTGTAGCCCGCATGTGTCAAGGCAGGCAACACGTAGATTTATCGTCCCATCCAACAGTTTTACAACAATAAGCACAAATACAAGCACTTGGACATTGCAGAGCTTTGAAGACAATGTAGTTCATGCATACAGACATCAGCAAACCATCAGCAAAGAATGATCTATCAAGATTTGTCCTCTCAGGTTGGCTGCTGCAGGATTTCAGACACCAAATTCTATCTCCCATCCACTGCTGAAAGTAGGGCTGCAAGCAGGTAAGCTGAAGATGGAAGCTGTACTTCAAAATAAGACATATCTGCAATTCCTTCTGCAAGATCTCCAACAGAATCACTGCAGACAGAACATTTATCTCTGCTACTCTGAATATGAGAAATTGTAGATTAATTGATAGTTTAATGAGGTACAGAGGTGGTTCTTCAACAGGAGATACAATGTAAATACACACTGTGGGAGAGCACTGCAGACAATGAATGTCCAGACCAACGCAACCTCTCACATAGTATCATTTTAAAAAGAATGGGAAGCATAGCTTATGTTGGTGAACTAGCAACAATCAACCATATGTGACTTTGTCTTCTATTAAAAGACCTTAACTTTTTGGATGCCTACCAGGCATGTGACCACTGTTTTAGCACTCACAGTTTGGTAACAAAAACATGTTGGCCATCCTATGTGGCTTATGGTTTGGTGGACCAAAGCTGTGTAGTGCTGTAGTAGACTAAGGTGGACAAATATGGAAAGTCCAGTGGCCAGTTTTCTCTTCCTCCAGACCTCCAGGATCCATGGAGACCACTAAAAACACTAAAAGAAAAGTGGAAAGGTAAAATTAAAGTAGATGGAAATTCATTTCCAGTGTTGAAAAACAATGAGGGTGATTTAGGGCACTGAATTGTGCAGGGAATGTGTGTGAACTATTTAACCCCTTCGAGAGCACTAAATGCTTCGATTTGTATCAAAAAAAAGAGGAGGCTGGAAATTCAGCCTGGGCTGAACATCATAGGGACAGATCCCAGCTGAGGCCTCCATAATCAGCTTGAATGAGTTCTTCTCCTCCTAGAATTTCTGTCAGTGCTGTTTCACACAGCTGCAGTTGAAACAGTAAGGTCCATTTGATTAACTCTGCTGGGATGTAGCACCTCTGATGCCTTCCCTTTCAGAATCATCTCCACAAGAAACCTCGGGGCACAGTGGTTAAACTGCAGACAAGCTTCTGCTTATGGCCTGAGTTCAATCCTGATAGGTTCAGGTAGCTGACTCAAAGTTGACTCCTTCCATTCTTCCAAAGTTGGTAAAATGAGTATCCACTGGGGGCAAGTTGTGGTTTGCATAATTATGTTGTCAACCCACCGAGAGTGTTCTAGCACTACTGTATGGGGTAGTATATACAGTGGGGTCTTGACTTGAGAACTTAATCTGTATTGGAAGGCGGTTCTCAAGTCAAAAAGTTTGCAGGTCAAATCTGCATTTCCCATAGGAATGCATTGAAAACCATTTGATCCGTATCTGCTCTTTTCCCTCCATAGAAACTAATGGGAAGCTGCTATTCCGCCTTCGACCACTAGAGGGGGATATTTTGTTTCTTTTTTTCTTAGGTCAAGAAAGGTTCAGGGAAGGCAGGGAAAATACAGTCCAGGCAGTACAGTACCAGGCAGTCCGAAGACTGTCTCCCAATCCACTCTCTAAACGCTGGGAGGAGTGAGGAAGCAGACAGGCACCCTTTTCACTGGCCAACAGTTAACTGAAAGTTCACATTTTGCACTTTCCCTGCCTCCCACGGGGTTTTTTTTCAGTTCTTAACTCAAATCTAAGTATGTAAGTCAAGTCAATATTTTCCTATGAGAGTGGTTCTTAAGTCAAAATGTTCTTAACTCGAGCTGGTCTTAAGTCAAGACCCCACTATAAAGCCAAAACAACAGCAGCAACAATTCACCTAGTTGTCTGCATTAGCAAAATCTCCTCCACTGGCTCAGTTGCAATCAACACCACTTCTGGATCCTCTTCTCCCAGAACTGTCTCACACAACTCCATTATATAACAGTATTAAATGATAAAATGAATTGGTTGCTAATAAATTTGTTCATTAAAGCAGGACAGTAATTTGTGACAGCAGTGAAAAGTATAAACAAAAATAGCACTGTTGATGTTTAATGCTTAACATAAACAATTAAAAACTGCTCTCAAAAATGTTAAAATGTTCTCTCCAAAGAAACAGTGCCTCAAGTAATGCTCATATCTTTGAAGTTCTCACCACTTAAAAAATAGAATATATGAGGGTATAAGAATATTTTTTAAATGTGCATAACACACTGCAACACAGGGCTGATTTTGCTGTGCAACTGGTGAAGTGACTATAAAAAAGGACTAGATGAAGATACAAATTCTCTACAATTCTTATTTCCCACAATTGATTCATTTCCCCTTCCACAATAGCATTTCCTCCGAGATCAGTCATTAGAGATGCAAATTAATCCTGTGTTTACTTCTTATGATCAACTGAAAAACAAGACATGCTCAATGAAGGTGAGGAATATTAAGCAGTATGAGAAACCTGTCTTCTTTCATCACTTAAGGGAGCACCTCTGCAAAAACCTGACAAGTGTATCAGGTGGTCTTAGGACCAGATGGGTGGGGTACAAATAAAATAAAATAAAATAAAATAAAACAAGTCAATGGTGTACTAAATACTGGCATTAATGAGGAAAGGGGATGTTTGGCATTATTCAAGTCAGCAAAATGTGTTGTGCCAACACAGTTCATATTGTGGGCTGTTCTGTGAAAATTGCTTCATTACTTTAATAATGATAAAACTGTGTTGTCACCTTTACGTTATGATTTGAGGTTTGTGCCCCTTCCCCGTCCCCTGACTTCCCATGAAGTCTAATGCTTACAGTATGTAATGTGATGCTCAGAGAGGGAAAAGGAACAAATTTTAAAAAAACATGGAATCTCCTACCCACATGTTCCCATCCACTACACATTTAGAAACAGAAACCACAGAGGCCTGCTCTTAAACCCACGTAACTAATAACAGACAACCACACACATCGATGGTGTAAACAGGCCTGCACAACTTGGAGCAAAAGAAAGCTGCACGCAGCCCACCAGCCATGTACCTTGTGGCTTGACAAGGACCTTGACAAACTCGTTGTTTCTGTACTCCTGGCTTGTATTTGAGCCAAGCATCTGCACTTCAGTTTGCTTCTAGTCCTGCCAGTTTAGCCTGTCTCATTTCCAG